CACGTATGCCAGGCTGTCACCAGAGACCGAGGTATGGTTCTAGACTTGGCCTCATCCTTGCTGTGGGTCACTGAGTGAGCTGACTTCCTACTGTGAGCTCTGTTTCCTCATCAATGGGATGAATAATAACGCCCTCCTCAAAGGGCTTCTGAGACTCCAGTGAGAACACACTGAAGGGCTTTGAAGCAGCAGAGTGCTTGCCTCGCACGCTCTGGGTTCAAACCCCTGCACCACGGAAACCAGAGTATGCTAAGAACTTCACATCGGCCAAGTCCTTGCCTCACGCCAGACCTTCGCAAAGCCCTTTGTACACATTACCTCACCAAAGCCCCACAGCAATCCTCTGAGGTAGACACTATTATTATCTCCATTTTATAGATGAGGAAACGGAATCTCCCAAGGGTCAAACTGCTCAAGTTACACCAGATCAGATTTGCTGGGAGTGAGGCCGTCTGTCTCCAAGCTTGAGCGTTGACTCACTCCGCCAGGCTCTGTCTCCGATGACACAGGCCTTCCTGACAGAGGCTGATCTGCGGCGTAAAAACTGAGGAGTGACAGCTTTTCTTTGTTCTGGCAACTCTCTCTCCCTCCCTCTCCCACCCTCCCCACCTTGGGGTCCGCTGTAGACACCTGGTCCCAGAGCAAGGGTAGATAGATAGGCTCAGCGTGGAGTGGAGTGGGCCCGGAGAGGGGGCTTGGGCTTGGCTGCCACTGAAGCACGGTTCCTGAGCAGTGTGGCAGGGCAGGCTGGCAGGGCACATGAACAGACTTTGTCATTGGCTAATTTGGGTTCTTCTGCTTTCCAAACAATGCCAGGGCCGCTGGGACTGGCTGGCAGGTGTTTGCCCCTGAAATGACTGACTCTGCTACCCATGGTCTTGTAAGGCTTAACTCTCCTGGCCTGATACTTCCTTCCTCCCATAGGCTATGGCCTTTCTAGCCCTGGGAGGGACAATAATGACATTGGGAACCAGCGTGGCCAAAGGCTGGACACTCTTCACCGAGGTCTTCTAGTTCACCAGCTCCCGTTCAGTCTTTTTCCTAGTCTTGCCCCACCCCTGTTTCCAGCCTAGAAAGCCCTGGATACTCCCCGCACTCCTCTTCCCTCCCTCCTTCCAGCTCAAACTGCCCTCAGATTCACAGCAATCCTCCTGCCTCGGTGTCCCCAGTGCTGGGATTACAGACATGCGCCTTCCTGACCCACTTCTGTTCTGTTAATTCCTCATTGGGTTGAAGGCCGAGTTCTGATCATGAGGGCCATTCTCTCAAGGCACAACGTCTATCAACAGTGCCTCAGATTTTTCCCGGGACTTTTAAAAGAGGCTAAAGGAAGTTCATCAGCCTGTTCCAAGCAGGGGCTCCCCAGGAGGCAAAGAGGAGTCCCTTGGAAGCCAGCCCTTAAGGTCATGACACACCCCTAAGCTAGTTGACCAATAAGAAAGCAAGGTTCTAAGAGAGCCCTGGGGAGCTGGTTTATTGGGCCTTGAACCTACATTTAGGGTAGGTTCTGGAAGGTCGGTGTTATGGTTGGGGATGATGCTGAGGTGGGGTGGGAATGGGGGTGAGCTAAGCTGCTGATTCAACAGAAAGTAGGAATTGGAGGGGAAGCTGGTGAGGCATTAGAATAAGAGTAGTTCTAGCATTTTCCATGTGCAAGTGGTCATCTCAGGAAACAGAGGACAGTGAGAATGATGGGTGAGGTTAGCTCCTGGACATGGTGCGGCTGAGTACATTCTTCAGCTCCTGCAGTCCCACCCTGGGCTGGAGAAGCCCCAGTGCCTGCAGGGCTTCGGGCATTAGGAGAAGGCTATCTTCTCATTTGCTCAATGGACAGCTATGGGCCTCAGCAGAGACAGAGACAAAAATGGAGTGTGTTTGGATTAGACGGAAGTACAGAAGTAGAGTTAGTTAGTTAGACTAGTGCTAAAATTAGGGAAGCATCTATGACAGAGGGACTGTGTGGTAGATCAGAACCGCTCACCACATGGTCTCTCCTCTCCATGTTCTCCTGGACTGTAGTCTTCCTCCACTGACCTCCTGTCATGTCCCCAGCAAGAGAAAAGCACGCTTTCAGGAAGGGCAAGCCCTAGGGGGCCGTGTTTTTCGCCAGGAAAGTGTCAGAGTCTGGCTTAAGACTGCCTTGCTTTGGGTGCACTCTACCTACCCTAGCTCTTCTCACTGACCTTGCCGAGCCCACTGCTTTTCTGGCTGGCCCCAAGTGTACCTGACCATGAAGCTTGGGGCCCTGCAAGTCACTGGAGAGAGCCCGTTAAGTTCTTATTGTTGCTATCATGAGCCACCACAAGCTTAACTATTAAAAAACAACACACGTTTTCTTATTGTCCTGAAGGGCCAATGTCCAAAAACCAGGCTCCCGAGGCTGGGAAATGGGGTGATTGCAGGCCTGCTTCCTTCTGGAGGCCAAGGGAGGCTTTTCCTTTCCTCTTCTCAGTCCCGGAAGTCACCTGTGATCCTTGGCTGGCACTCACTTCCTCTGCCTTGGAAGACAGTGTGTTGCATCTCTCTTCCTTGACCTCTGTTTCATTTACCACATTTCACGCCAACCCTGACTGAGCCTCATGCCTCAGCCTGAAAAAAGGCCCTGTGGTAACTCAGGAAAGCCTCCCATCTTTCACCACATCTACCATGTCCCTTTGCCATATAAAGCATCATATTTACATTGTCATTAGGAGATGGGCGTGTTTGTGGGACCATTATCCACATGCCACAGGAAGTTCTGCCTGGGGACTCTGGAGAGCTATGAGTGCTGCTTCTGGCTCCATGTCTGAGGAGAAGCCAGACACAGCCTGAAGGCTCTGGGATAGCCGCCCCTGTAGAGGCAGAATAGGAAGCGGGGGACTTGTTCCTGGACAGAGGTCAAGGGAAAGGATGGCGATCTTTATTGTAAGCAAGGGGACCAGTCAGGAGAAAAGTAACAGAGGCACACTTGGTAAGGACAGCGACTGGTGTAGGGGAGCAGCAACACTCAGGGGTAGACCCTTAGCTAGACAGAGAAAGACTCCTGCTGGAGATCACAGGGCCTACCTGTGGGTGGGCTCTGGAGATCTCTGCACCTACCTCCCTGCTCAGAAAAATTGGAGCACGCACAAGGACTACAGGGCACACCAGACTTCGTTTTGAAGGCCACTCCTGAGTTCAGACCCTAGGGAAGTCTGCGGGCTGGAGTGCAAAGCCAGAATTGGGGTCCGAGTGCAATCGTGAGTTGGGGTGGACCTGAGGGAGAGAGCTAGATGCTGGGAGCCACACGGTGTGGAGGGAACACAAACAGAGGTAGAACACTGGGAATCAGCACAAGGAGCTCCAGGCTCTGCTTTTCCCAAGACCCTGCACATGGCTTTGTATTTCCAGCAGAGGACGCCCTCCTGGGTGGTCTACATTCACAGTGATATGCTGTGAGCATATAGTCACCTAACTTTTGGGTTGTTTGGGTCCTCGTTTGTGCTTCTATTTTGTGCTTTGTCATATCTTTGTTTTCCTTTTCAAAAAGCAAGGTAATTCATGCACACAACTCATTTTCGGCGTGAGGTCTTAGAAGAAATTTATCGTGGGTGCTGGAGAGACGGTTCTGCTTTTAGAGAGCTTGCTGTGCACTGAGTTTGACCCTCAGCACCGACATCAGAAGCGGGCATGTCACCCCAGCACTGGGGAGGAAGACACAGGATGGTCTCTGGGGCTCTCTGGCCAGGCAGCCTAGATGAATCAGTGCACCCCAGGTTCCAGTGAGAGACGTCTCAAAAAATACAGCAGGTGTTTCTCAATGAATAGTACCCTAGGTTGGCTTCTGGCCTCCACATTTGCCAGTACACCTCTGTAACACACATGTATGCACACACACACACACACACACACACACACACACACACACACACACACACACACACGCACTCCAAATGTATAAAAAAGAGATTCACAAAAATGCAAGGCAATAAACTCCAGTGGACCCTTCCCCAAAGCTCCTAGATTCCTCTGCTGCAGCTGTTCCTTGTGGTTGACACCTGTCTAGTTTCTACTCCAGCCTCCTACTTGGAATCCTGTGCCCTAGCCCCACGGACCCTGCCCTTCCTCTCTGGTAACCATTCAGCAAGAGGCTTCCCAAACATGCCCTCTTAGAACAGGCTTGGAGTCATCTCTGCTGGGCAGAATATTAGCATCCTCAGCACAGGTTATTTCTTCTTGGTGGGCACTGGAAATGCCCTGCCTTAGCTCACCCTTGCCCACCAACTCCCTCCCTCCCTCCCTGAGCCTGCTTCTGACCTCCCAGAGGGGTCAATTCTCTGCCTGTCCTGCCTCGCCTGGGATCTTGGCCCACAAGATGACCGACTATAATAGCCACAGGATTAACATAGCAGGCATTGTCTTTCTCTGACTATAGGGTGGGTATTATGTGTTCATCAACAGTCCTAAAAATACCCGGTAAACAGGTGCAGCCCTGTGGTCCCAGCCTCCTGGGGTCAGTTAGCCTCTGATCGACATGAAGATTAAGCAGGGAAAAGACCGTTAGTCTCCTTGGGTTCAAGAAGTGGAATGTGGGGTGCTATTTGGAACCTGGGCAATGGAGACTCCTTAAAGCCCACCTGAAGAAGCCTGTAGAAAGCCTGCAGATCCTCAGGCTTCCAAGAGCATAAAGGTGGCCCTGCTGCCACTGTGACTCAGCTGGGCCCCAGAAACATGCCACCCAAACCCTGCAGGGAGCCTCCTATCTCACTGGCACCAACAACTAGGTCTTGGGCTTTTAGAGGTTTTTGGAGCATGGGCTGGGACTGCATGTTCACAGGTCCTGGCAAGGGAGAAAATGTCGGTCTGCTACTCCCCAGTCCTTCATGGTTCCTCAGGCCTCCCAATGCCCAGATCTCCTTCATCCCTCTTCCTGTTCTCATCTCTGGGCAGCTCCACATCTGCTCTGGTCTTTTACTCTCTGCTTTCCCCCAGTGGCGTGCTGGTGTCCCCCAGTGAGAGGCTCTGTGTGTGCAGGGCTTGTGTGTGCTCCCGATGCACACACACTGGTCTCCAAGCCTGTGTGCCCTGTGGTACACACCGCAGCACGGATCCACCCCGTGAGGTGTGTATGGTGGGAGGGGGTGGGAAGGAGGGGCAGCCGGAGGGACAGTGGCTGTTCTATTTTTACTGGCCAGTTGCCGGAGGCCACAGTTTTCATAGCCTGCCCTCAGCTCTGCCCCCTCAGTCTGCAGTCTGTGCTGAGGCTCAGGCCAGCCTGGCTCCACGAGGACTAAACCAGGTAAGCGTCTACAGCCCTGACTGTGGACCTGGGCGAGCCTGGGTAGAGAGCTGGGATTTTGTTTAAAGGGGAAATAAGGTTTGGGAGGCGGAAGATGTTTCCTGTTTGGGTAAGCAGGTTTGTGGGTAGAATACTTTATAGTACTCCTAGCCCTTTGTCCCATAAAATGGCACCCTCTCCTGTAAGATGCTGTGGGAGGCGAAACCTGGAGGGACAGAAGTGCCCAGCATGCTCCTCAGGAGCCCGAGGCAGAGCCTAATGGACTATGCTCTCACGAGAGGCTGCAGCCTCTCGTGAAGGACTGTGCTCCTGGTGGGAGGGTGGTTCCGGGGATCAGGGAGTCACGGCAGAGGGTCTGCATGAGGAGGTGTCTGGGGAACAGTGATAGTGATCAGTGGCTGCATTGGCAGGACAAGGAGGTAGATGGCTGGCATGCAGGACTCTCAGGGGCAGGTCCAGAGGCCCTGTTGGCCAAAGAGACCATCTTATTCTTTGTCCTTTGTCTCTAACAGGCGCATTTGGCTCTCTGCCCATCTCATCTGCACAGAACACGAGCAGGTAAGGACAGACTGCCAGTTCTCTCCACCGCTTCTGGCTCTGAGTTGTAGAAGGAGTTGTTGGGGTCCTCTCGTGGGGGAGGCAGGCGCCAACAGCATTTGGGCTGTGAGCACATAAACTAGGACAATAGCCAAACTGTGATGTTGGGAGGAGTGTGTGTGGGGGAGGGTGCTAAAGGCAGCCCCTACCCCAAGTTTGAAGGTCACAGACCCAAAGAAGTTCTAACACTGGATTTCCTGGCCACGAGCTTGGGAATCCAGCTTGTTAACACCCTGTTCAGGAGCGTGGGGATGCCCTTGAACTAAGACCCAAGGTCAGGGGTGGGGAGCAACGGTAGAGCTTGAGTCCAGTTAGATGTTAGTGTTCCTGTTAGGTGTGTCGAGAGGCCAGTTCCTTTCTCTACGCTGTCTCTCACACAGGTCTACACACTCATACACACTCAGGCTTGGCGTGGAAAGCTGACAGCTTTTCCACACTAGGGGCCTCAGGGCCCGGAAGGTGAGCCTTGAGTCAGGCCCCAGAATCTGTTCCCTTCCCTCTAGTTCTGTCTTTTCTGTTATCTCCTTGTCTTCCACTTGTAGTACAGATGGAATTCAGCCCTCCAGTCTCCCTGCTATCTACATCCTGGCTTCTAATCAGGTCCCTGCTTGTCTTCCACAGAGCCTGTCAAAGCACAGGTCAGGGCCCCGTGCTTGATGTGAGACCCCTGGGCCTGGCATCTGTCAGTGAGGCAGTTGGGGACTGCCCGGAGCTTGGCGGGAGGCCCAGGCTGGCCCCAGCTGTGGGCCCCACCCTGGCGACAACGGGCTTTCTAAGGGATTGAGGAAGGACAGACATGGCTAACTGCCCACCAGGGCGAAGCACATCCTGGGGAGACAGATGTGAGATCTACTCGGCCACGACTTGCATTCCCAGAGGCCCGACAGACGTGGGTGGGGTGGATCTTTGTCAGCCAGTGTTTCTTTTTGGACTTCCCAGTGTCTTCAGGAGAGCAAAGCCCTTGACCAGCAGCTGTGCATGGAATCTAATTTCAGCTAAGCATGTTGGGAATGCATGGATGGTTCCCACACCTCTTCCCCTGCACCCCACAGGGACAGCTGAGACTCCGGGGTCACCTCCCACCTAGCCTCACTCTCCCTACGACAGAAGCTCCCTAACAGGTTGGGATTCATGAGAGGAGGGCCAAGCATGGTCACTGGGCTTGGAGGGGCGGCGCTCTTTATGGGCACAAGAAGGGTGTCTATAGAATGACATCATTGGTGGACCCCCTGCAAGGGTCCTGTAGTGCTCCAAACTAGGTTCACGAACCAAACATAAACATGGGCTTTGAACTCCATGCCTGCCCTCTCTCTAAACGCCATTCCGCCCACTCTTCACTGTCTCAGGCCTCCTGACCCACCCTCCACATTTGTCCCCAGCCTGGCTGCTCCCGCTTCCCTGAGCTTCCTCCCAGTCATTTCCTCTACTGTCCGCCTACCCACTCCAGGATGCTCTATGTCAGGGCCCAGACAAGAGGGTGAATCAGGCCGGTAGGTGTTGCAGCCTTCAGAGCCCCAGTGTGGCCTGGGCCCAGAGACAGCCTGTCAACGGCTTCGGACGGCTCCATGGCTGTGCCTTCTCAGAGGATGCCAGACTCCTCTGCCAGCTCCTCGAACCAGCGCCATTATGCCTTAGTTATTGAACTTGCTTTGCTTCCAAGTGAGATCTGGTTTGAATAAAAGGTCCAAGGGCTAAATATTAAGAAGCACAACACTTATCTAAGCTCCAGTTCTGCAGAGAGGATAACTGGCCGAGAAAGAGTGAAGACACACTAGAATTTTTTTAAATCTCCTGTCTTAACTTCTATGCAGGGCTTCTTGCCACCTACCCAGGGCTGCCAGGCACCTATTGAACGGCACCTCTGGAGTTGGGCCAAAAGGTACCTAGCTGCCAGCTTCACCTCAGCTTCTGTTCTGCTCTGCTCCTCCTGCACCTTCCTTGAGTCCTAGTCCACAGGGGAAGTCTGAATTCAGCTGCGTGTTCGAGTCTCTCTCGATCAAGCCCCGTTCTCTACTTTCCAACCATGCTGTCTACAGATTCCATTCTGTCTTGCAGCACAGTCAATGGTGTTTTTCTGGAAATCGCCGTGTGGAAATGTGTTAGGTTTTGCAGGTCATAGGAGGATTTTGTCCATGTATTCTGTTTCGTCGTTGGTTAAACAGAGCAGATGAGGTGTCCTGTTGAATCTGGCATGTTGACTACTTCCTGCCATCTAACTTCCCACCCCTACTAGGGGTTCACAGCCGAAGGCACATCTTTTCCATTAATGATTCCTCTGTATCCTCTAGGTGCCGCCTTGCTGCCACCATGCCGGAAGTGTAAGTTATCCCCATGCAGGGCTCCTGGGAGCCATGTCTCCCTTCACCACAGACTTCAGCCTGACAGTTGGGGACAGCCTGGTTCACCCCTCCCCAAGCCACTCCCAGCAGCAGCTCCAGAGATAGGCATGGACTTTAGTGCCTGGTCCACACTCGCTGCTTCCCTGAGGGGTCCAGTTCTCTAAGCTGAGCAAAGCTCACTCCCAGGTCACCCTGGAGGACGTGTTTTGCCTGTGCTTCAGAGATGGCTTGTCAGTACTGATCGATGAACTGGGCACACTAGATTACCACATCATGTGAGCATGGCAAATCGATGCAGGCCCAGGGATAGAAGTTTTTGCTTTAACTGTGGCCTTCTATCAAAGCTTATGTGGCCTCCCACTAGATCCCCTACATCTATGAATGACCAACATCTCCCAGAAAGTCCAGTAGCCTAGAAGGTTGCTGGGTTTTTATACTCTTATGTTCTGAAACCCTGAAGTGGTTCCCCCTGCCCTATGGCTGATGTCATTCAGACATGTTGTCGCTACCTGTGCCCTCCTCTCCAAGCAAATCTGCTTGGTTCTGTGGCTGCTCAGGTCGTGTGTTTTGTTCCAACTCACTCTATGCTCTGCTCTTTCCTCCGGTCCTTCCTACGACGGATGCCTAAAGTGAGGTGAGTGATCTCGGGGTTTCTTAGTTCTTCAGACTGATGAAGGTGGGGTGGGCCTGAGAAGTCAGATTGGGTCAAAGCCAAGGAAGGGATGGGGATGTCTGTGGCTGAGAAAACTCCCAGGAGATGAGAAACTATGAGTGAAGATGCTATGTGATGCTGGGCTCCCAGGTTGCAGGGAGTCGATGCTCCAGGGCACAGTGCCCCTCACAGACATTCATGTGACTGGGACCACAGATGGGGGCATGACTTCGTACCTTTGTTGAGTGAAAGTGCTCCCTCAGTCTCTCTCAAAGCTCCTGCATCCCGGGGGGGGGGGGGGAATCATTCTGCCTATTGAAAAGCTGATGCTGTGCGAAGCCCCATCTGAAAGGTGAAGGCTATGACTGAACATTGAGGAAGGAGCGAAGCTGTGGCCTGAGGTTCCCCTCAGGATTGTGGTCACCCTGGTTCTGGACACCCTGTGGTCCAGATTTCTTCAGGCTGCCGAGAACGCAGCCGGAATATCGCCCCGGGGGTGGGGACTGAAGGAAAGGTGATGTGCTGACTCAAGTGGAGAGGTATCGTCACTGGCTGAGGGAACACCTGGCCTGGATAGTCTCAGGAGAAGCAAATATACTACTTTCCAGTGACCTATGAACTTGAGTTTTGCTGAGGCTCCTCCTAGAGTGGGTCCCCAAGGACTGTTGGTTAGCTGAAGAGGCCATATACTTCCCGAGTGGCGGGGGGAAACAGGACTGTGAAAGGTCATTCCCCACGGTGTGTCTGGGTGGCCACAGCAACCGGCCATTTTTCTCATTACCTGGAGTGTAGGCTTCCAAAGACGAAAAGATAAGCCACTGTGAGCAGATCAGAAGCTGTGTGCTCAGTGTGCCAAAGCTCATCCATTGCCTCTCCCAGCCACGCCCACAAAGCCTCACCACTTCTGCCTGACATACTGCGGGGACAAACCACAGCTGTGCTCTCTCAGGGTGGATCACGCCTGAACCAGGCCCGTACTCCATGGGAGCAACAAGGAGAAACCCAGGAGGGACACAGGGCTCCTGTCCTCATCGTCCCATTGGTTAGCAGGGAGGTGGCTCTGTCACCTTCACCACACCGGGGCCACTGCCACAGGGCTGGGACTTTACAAATTCTTTTCGATAAGTTCTTCCATGTGGCCCACGTTCTTCCATGATGGCCCACAACATGTGAGCCTCTTGCCTCAGCCCCCAGAGTGCTGAGATCACACACATGACCCACCATCCCTGGCCCTGGAGGGAACTTACAAAGAGCTATTAAAACATACCTATCTAGTCATCAAGAATTTGCCTGCAGCCTTGCAGTTGGCGGCACACGCCTTTTATCCCAGCACTCGGGCGGGAGGCAGAGGCAGGTGGATCTCTGAATTCGAGGCCAGCCTGGTCTATAGATTGAGTTCTAGGACAGCCAGAGCTACACAGAGAAACCCTGTCTCAAGAAACAAACAAACAGAATTTGCCTGCTCGTTTTGATTAGAAGACACAGCAGTGTTTTCATATCGTAGAGATTTATGTGGGTGACGGTGACTTATAAAGCAGTTCGATGTCCACATAGACATGCTTCACTTATTTGCGAAACATGTAGCATATGTCTCTGGCAGGAAAGAACATCAAAACGCAGCTTCATTATCACCTGGAGTGCTAAAACATACGCCCGTTGTAGGCTTTTCGCAAAGGTTGCTTATCTGTGCCCTCATTTTATCTTGGTGGCGTTGGGAACTGAGTACAGCTGTCCACATGCTCCTCGGCAGATGAGGTACCCATAGGAGGCATGCTTGCAGACTCCTGCAGAATTCTGCCAGCCGCAGAGTGGGGGCTGGAAGGTGGGGCTTCAAGGAAGCTGCCTGCAGCCTTCTCTGAACTTGACTGGTTCAGTCCCTAAGATGAGCTTGAAAAGCCCTAAAGTGAGCAGAGGATTCTGGGTAATGATGAAGCACCACAGCTGGTACTGTGCTGGTCTAGACCAGAATTCCAGTTTTATAGCCTTTAACTTACCGCTGGTCTCTCCTTCTCATCCTCAGAGAAAATCCAAGATCACCGCCTCCCGCAAACTCATGCTGAAGGTGAGGCTGGTCCCATGGGAGATGGAGGGGCAGCCATGCAGCCTTGAAGGGGTGTGGAGGGCAGGGAGGGTAAGGAGGTGACCAAGCAAGGGTAAGGGAAGAAGCCTGGCCATTGCCAGAGCTGACTGGTGACCAGTGACTTGTATCCTGCTCCTCCTGGGCACCTGAGAGGCAGCGGGAAATAACCTGGAGAGGGATCCCTTGGTGGAGGGAGAGGAAGGGACATGGTTCATTTTGATATGTTTCTCTCTTTGGAGCTCTGTGGGACGAAAGGGCTAACAAGGAGGGAAGAGGGAGACTGTGTGGGTAAGCAAGCTCTGGGGCTCAGGAATGCCACTCGGTGTGACTTACACACGGCTAGCAGCTACTGCACACATTGCTAACACTGAGTGATGGCCTCAGACCTGCCGAGTCCGGAGGCTCTTTCCCCTCACTTGATGGTGCTGGTTAGGGAATATGAGGAACCAGCCTTGGCTCAGCGGCTTTGTCCTTTCCAGAGCCTGATGCTAGCCAAGGCCAAGGAGTGCTGGGAGCAGGAACATGAGGAACGAGAGGCTGAGAAGGTGCGTTACCTAGCGGAGCGCATCCCCACCCTGCAGACCCGAGGCCTGTCCCTCAGCGCCCTGCAGGTAAGCCTGGCCGGCTGGGAAGGGCCCTCTGTGGGTCTTGAACTAACACATCTGTAACCTACAAGGTGCCCTCCCACCCCCCACGCCAATGTGATACCCCCATTTTATAGACTTGAGAGGGGAGTCCCAGAGGGGAGAATGGACTTATTGGTCAGAATCAGGGACTGACTTCCCATCAGTTGGTGCAATGGTATGGCCTGGGGGATGGGCAGGACTTAGGAAGGCCCATTCCTCTAAAGATTTGCCCCTCTGTTTAGAGATGAGTCTTTACTGTTTTTAATTAGTTAGGAGCTGCTTTAAAGTGACTGAAGAGAATAGGCTAGATGCAAATACTTCCCATGTATCTCCCATGGCAGTGGCTATTTTAATTTTATTATTTTTGTTTAACATGTAGTTGTCAAATTTTCTACTATTAACTTATGTTACTTTTATGGTAAGAAAACTGTTTTTGGAAAAAGCAGCTATGAGCCTGGTGCAGAGGCCTGTGTTCACAGTCTCAGTGTTCAGGAGAGAGAGGCTGGAGGATGGCAAACTAAAGCTTTTTTATTAAAACATTTGTATACACTGTATTTTGATCACATTTCCCTTTCCCCAGCTCTTCCCAGATTCTTCTTACCTCCCAGGCCACTCAACTTTATGTTATTTCTCTCTCTAATAAAAGAAATACAACAAAAAAATCAAAAATCAAAATCAAGAGGAAAAAATATCAAAAATCAAAATAAAGAGGAAAGGAAGGAAGGAAGGAAGATGGAAAGAAAGAAGGAAAGAAAGAAAGAGAGAGAGAAAGAAAGAAAAGAAAAAGAAAATCAAAAGTGTGGTAGTGCTCACTTTTAATCCCAGCACTCAGAGGCAGAGGCAGGCAGATCTGTGAATTCAAGGTCAGCCTGGTCTACAGAGTGAGCCAGGACAGAGCAACATACTGAGACCCTGTTTGGGGGGGGGGGGGCACTTTCAGGTCAGCCGGGGCTACATATTGACATAATCCAAAAAAAAAAAAAAATCTAGGAAAAGAAAGCACACAGAGAGCAGAAAGGAGAGCAAAGGCTTATGCTCCGAGGTGTTCCTCTGAGGGAGCCTCTAGCAGCTCCTGTTGGGATTACAGCGGGCCATAGCACCAAGCATGCTGAGTGTGGAGACAGAAAAGGGAGGCTGGAGCTGGCGGCCCTCCCCCTCCCCTCCACTCTCACGCTGTCACTCTACTCCCTCAGGACTTGTGCCGAGAGCTACATGCCAAGGTGGAGGTGGTGGATGAGGAGCGATATGATATTGAGGCCAAATGCCTCCACAACACGAGGGAGGTAAGCCCCAGGGAGGGTGAGGAGCAGGCTGGGCCTGTGCGGGGTAGGGTGGGCATCAGATGGACCACCCCTTTCTATGGGGCCTTGGAGACAGCAGCCTCTCAGCATGAAGCTTTAGTTTTCCACCCTGGCACCGTCGGCCGGCCGGGAGATGGGCGGGAAGGACAGTCACACAGGAAGAGAACAAACTTCCTCCCCACCTGCCATGTGAGCTCTTCAGAAGTTCCTGTCTGTGCTCACCCACACAAGTAATCAGTTGTGGGTTAATGACATCTTGCCGCTGTGAAGGGCTTTCATGTGTGTGGCAACCTTTGATCCTCCCTCCATGCCTGTGGGTGACATGGGGACTATTACCCGACCCTGACAAATGAGGACACCGAGACTCACAAAGGCTAAGAACTGGCTTGGCGCGAGTCACAAAACAGGGGTCCCAGTCTGTACCCCGCTCTCCGATTCGTACTCCTGTACTCAATACTCAGTGCTCCTTCAGGGTGGGGTGTGCGAGCATTAGGGCCAGCCGGTAGAGATGAATGGGGAAAGGCGGGACTTCCTGTGCAGGCGGGCTGCTTCTGAGCATTCACCCACTTCCACTTGCCAGGACGCGGCTGTGTGATGTCACTAAGCTCCAGAGAACTCCCTCTTAGACCACACCCTGGGATTCCTAGGGTGTAGGATTTAGGTTGTTTTTTTTTTTTTTTTTTTTTTTAAACCTGCTGGGTCAGTCTGGGTCCAGCGGCTTTGCAGGTCCCCTGGGCAGGGCCTGAGCAGCACAGCAAGGATGGAGGGACAGAAGAAAGCAGTTCACGCTGCACACAAGGCTTCCGAATGTGAATGATGGCTGAGTGACTTTTCATTTATTTGAGGCTTGGTGAAGAGGAGGGGGTGAGGTTAACGACTGGGCTTAATCTGTAGAAGTTCCTGGTGAGTGTTTGGAAAAGGATAGATAGGTGGTTCTGAGCACTTCAGAGT